ACTGAGACGTAACTCAATGGTAAAGGAAATGATTCTTGTTTCTTTCTCTTCAGGATGTTTGGGGTCTGCAGAGGGGTCTCTATTACCGACCTTAGACCTTTACACGTCCCGATTGGAGGGAAAAAGTTTGATGTTTTTCTCTGTAGATCCTTCTGTTTTCGTATGGAGTGAACTTTGTTCCATTATTTTTGTAAATGGAAATTTGAAAAAAGTACAATCCAGAAATTAAACTTTAGAAAAACATTTTTTTTCTTCATATTTTCTTATTTGAATTTTAGGGTGTTTTACAGATTTTATTGTATCAAGATTTTTTGAAAGATTTTATATTTTCAATTTTGTTTTCAAATTTCTGTTTTACAGATTGAGTTTCATTTTAAATGGTGTTTTGCTCCTTCACTTTAAGACCAAATCGAATGCTAGCTATTAAAGTCGTAGGGAAGCGGCAGTACCAACCGTTGCATTTCCGAATTCTACCGAGTGGTGCCCGACTTTACACAAATGCATAAAGCGAATGTGATTGGTCATTTATCAAGGGGGCGGGATTGTTGTGGCGAAAGGGTTCGGTTGTGGCCGGTTTGTCAGAAGCATCTTGCTAACCAGTTAGCAACTTAGTGCTAGTAGGTTCCCAATGGGAAATTCCATTGGGACCAAGTAGCACTAAATTGGTGACTTAGAAACGACGCTGTCAAGGAACGCTATGGACAGCGGAAACATGCAAGAGGAGGAGAGTTTAGTGTCGGAGGTCGTTGATGAGTCTCCTCCATCATCCATTTTTTATTTAGAGGAGGAAAGCGGGGACGAAGATGTTGTGGAAGAGGACGCCAGGGCGGCAGAAGCTTGGTTTGGTGTAGAAGGCTTCCAGCCGTACATGTTTGAGCCCTTGCCTCGCAACGCTGCCAGTTCTGTTAGCTCTACGCCTGCCGAAGACACGGAAGTCCATCCCCGTGAACACTGGGACGGAAGTCAATGGGAAAGGAAATCATTCTGATTTCTCATTTCAACCGTTGCGTATATTAGCTGCGACATATGAATCAAGATGCTATGACCGAAAAAATTGGTTGACAGATGACCGTTGATATATGATTGGCTGAATTTAGGTGTTCAGGCTGACGTATAACTAACTGGCCTGCAGAAAATAACGAAAAAAATACACAAATTTTAGAAATTTTCGGACATTATGATAAAGAGTGCATTTATATACGTTTAAGCCAGAATGATTTTATATTTAAATATGACTTCCCTACGACTTTAAAAGGATTGACTCCTGATTCCAACATTTTTAATAACGATCACAAAACATCCGTCAGTAAATCCGTTTTTATTCAAATGTGATGCGACTTTAAATAGTCGAAAATGTGAATTAGTCGTGTTTCCATCCAGTGGAGCGAATTAGCGAGGCGAAGCAAAGCGTAACGATGTCATACATCTATGTTAGGCTTTGGTGTGGTACACAGATCAGATGGAGCACAGTTTTAATGAATTTAACTTGTTTTTACTTTATCATGTCAGCGATATTAAACTGTTCAGAGACGTTAAAAGAAGTGTGATTCTAATGCTGCATTCAGGAAGTGAGCGGCAGCGGAAACAGCTGATCAGAAGCCCGGTTTTATCAGAACTATTTGATTTTATGCTTTTATAAGGAAATTTAACATGATTGTGAATTTAGAGAGAAAAAGCAGTTTTCAGATAGGATTTATTCACCAAATGCGTTTCCACCTCCTCTGTCGTGAATTTACACTTTTCTGAATACCGGTAAATAAAAAAATCACCTGAAGAGAGGTTTAAAACTTTTTTGGTCATCTGTTGTTCCCTTTTGGATGCAATTCAGCGCCTATAGAAGAAGCAGTTCTCCGCTAAACCAGAAGGTGGCAGCAGTGACATGCTCATGTGGAACGTCCTACTTTGGCATTTTAAAGTTATTATATTCACTAAAACGAAGAAAATTAAACACATAAGTACGCGTATTGAGAGATGAACGCTGTTTTTTGGAGGATGAAGGGACTTGATCACTGTCAGCTGATTATAGTAAACTCAGAGCGACCGGAGATCTGTGCATCATCATTCAAGTCTTTGGAGATCTATTGTGCGATCAAAAACAACAAACTGTACATTAAATTTAGGGCCTCTTATTCTGAATGGTTGAAGATCAAACCCTAAACATCTCGGGAATTTTCCGTAATGCCTGATCAATCCGGCCCACTGGGTCAGAGACAGGAGAAACTGTTGATAATTGGCTCAAACCCGAAGGTGGTCATAATGTTTCAGCTCATCAGCATTTCTTTTTTTTTTTTTTATTGAATATTTCTTTGTTGCTATTTTACAGGTTTTAAACTAAGAAGCGGTGTCTCCATCCTCTTGCTCAGAATCATGTCGGAACACCAGACTGATCATTGGCCCGTTTCAGCAGAGCTTTTACAGAAAACATAAAAAGATTTTATCTTTTTTTTTTTTTTTACCTCATAAAACACAATAAACCAAATAATAAAACGAATAAAGTGCAAGCTAATAACATCTTAAGAGTCATAATGTTCAGGAAAAACAAAAAACAACAACAAAAAAACAGCAGAATCTTCCTCTGCTTCTCTTTAAGTTCTTGGAAAGCTGGAATGTGAATTTTAAAAATGATTCCAGATCACAGAGCTTCTCTCTTTGATTCCCAACTTCATATTTCATTAAACATTATAAACTTTAACAGATACACAGAGATCCGTGACGAAACGTTAGCAAAGGCCATGGAAAAACTGACGACGTCAATAAATACAAAAAAAAAGACCAAAAATAAAACTCTGCATCATGGAGGAACATTTCAGCACCATCCTGTTTGTTTCAGGACCAGACGGCTACCATCGACCAAAGAACCGTCACATCCAGGTCCATCAGGTCACATCATCCCGGCTTAACTCCAAGCTGACGAAGCTGTGACGCGTCGCCAGGCGATTAACTTAAACCTATTTTCCTCAATTTAAATCTTATATAAACTCATAAATCACCACAGAATACATTTCAAGCTTTTACTCAGTTTCACTGAATAAAACCTGATAATGCACTGCAAAAAATCTGAATCTAAATAAGTCATTTTTCTTAAAATAAGTGGATTTGTTCTTGAATTAAGGAGGTAAAAGAGACATTCTGCCAATGGAACGAGACAATTTACACGTAAAATAAGAAAACACAATTGCATTGTCTTATTTCAAGTGCATTTTATCTAATTATCTTATTTTAAAGCTACAGTGTGTAATTTTCAGCGACATCTAGCGGTCAGACTGCAGACCGCAGCAACATGAACATCTCCCCCCCACCGCTTCTCCCCCCCAACAGTACGGTGAGCGTTACGGGACAAAATGTCTTCCACGACGTCCGCATCACCTACCTTCTCAAGTGATGAGGTTTGTTTACATAGATAATTTTAATACTGCCATCTAAGATGTCTGCCTCCATGGCTGCGAGACCCGCTCCTATGTAATTATAAATAACGAATTCTAAGGCAACGCAAATATTAAGGTTAAGAGGCTGAGCTCGTAGATGATGATAAATAACATAGTTATGTATAATATATTACATTTCTGACTGTATATCCCTGTAATTATTACACATTGTAGCTTTAAGAGTAAAATTACTCATTCCACTGCCAAACTATCTCATTTACCTGCTCAAATTAAGGGTGAATACACTTAATTTAAGACATTTTTACTAATTTCTAGACAGTGTTGGGCACGTTACTTTGAAAAAGTAATTAGTTATAGTTACTAGTTACTTCTCCCAAAAAGTAACTGAGTTACTAACCAAGTTACTCCACAATAAAAGTAACCCCACCTTCTCGCCGTGTGTTTCCAAAGCCAGCTGAATAGAGCGGACGAGAAAGACAAGAACCTGCAGAGAGTTTAGCATTTATTGTAACTCAACGTAAATGACATCAGGGGGGAACGCCATGTGAAGGTTTTTAACAGGGCATTCAGATCTGGTGAGTATATGAAATTAATAACTGGGGATGTCTAATTCTGAAATCCTGTGTGTTTAGGTTGTTATAGATACTGCAACATCTATCTATCTATCTATCTATCTATCTATCTATCTATCTCTCTAGATGTATACTCTGTGTGTGACATAAATTATGGATCTCCATCCCTGCCACAAAGGCCATCAAATAATGTTTAAAATAAAAAATACAGCAGGTTGAAAAAGCAGCGTATCCATCCATCCATCCATCCATTCATCCATCCACCCATCCATCCAGATTTCTCCCTTTCTCCATATAGGCTATCATTTGATCCTTCACGCTCTCCATAGTTCCCCTGTGGCGCGAGCACAGGGCGACTGTTGCGCGCCTTTAGCGAGCATGCGCGTTTCCTGTCGCTTGCACGGTGAATCGTGCCGCCTGCGCTGTGCGGAGATGCAGGGGAAACCGTATCTGATGGGGAAACGCAGCTCGACGTAACACCTGTATTTCCATCTGGAAAATGCTGTTTGCTGCTGGAGTCCTCCTGACTCTCCATCTCTCTGTGTGTGCTGTACGTTAACACCCACCAGCAGAAACACCCACCTACCCAACTGACAGAATCTCACTATACATCAGCCATTCTCATCCTCCCCTCTCTCATGACGCGCGCACGAGTCCTATCATGAAAAAAAGGTTCATTGTGAGACCTGAGTAACGCGCAGTAACGGGGTGTCTGCAATGGTAACTGCGTTATAGTTACAGTCAAAGTAATTAGTTAGATTACTCGTTACTAAAACAAGGTAACGCCGTTAGTCCCATCACTGTTTCTAGATCGTTTTTGCAGTGTGGGTGCCAGCTAATGAAAGCCACACTGCAAAAACGATCTAGAAATAAGTGAAAAATTCCTTAAATAAGTGTATTCACCCTTGATTTGAGTAGGTAAATGAGAAAGTTTGCCAATGGAATTGGTAATTTTATTCTTAAAATAAGATAATTAGATAATAAGTACTTGAAATAAGACAATGCGATAGTGTTTTCTTATTTTAAGTGTAAATTGTCTTGTTTCATTGGCAGAATGTCTCTTTTACCTCCTCAATTCAAGAACAAATGCACTTATTTTAAGAAAAAAATGACTTATCTAGATTCAGATTTTTTGCAGTGCAGTAATTAGTTCTGGCCCTCGGATCCATGGGAAGGACGGCTGGCTTCACAGTTTCCGCACAAGGCAGCATCAGGTTGTTCACAGAGAGCTGGAAAGTTGAGTGGAAGGAAAAAGTGTGCACAGGAAGCTGGGATAGAAGTAACAGAAACAGAGATAAATGCTTGAAATATATGTCAGCGTGTAATTAATCAAGTCATCTATCTGTTTATCAAAAATGACCTCGATAACAGTTGTCTTAAACTGTTATTAGGAATATTTTGCTCTACTTTCGTCTTAAACATACTTTATATCTCCGCTTCCTTCATAAATGTGTTGTGCTTTTTTTCTCTGTGGATAAAAGAATGAAGTAAGCTGATTTTTTTTCTAGGCATGCGTAAAAACAGCAAGAAGAAAAACTCTTAACAGAATCACATAGGAGGCTAAAGCTGACTGCCGGCGTCGGTCTGGTTCTAAATGATGAAAGGAACCCCGACCTGCCTGGATCTGCTGCACTTCCTGGATTCCTGGATGGAGAAAAGTTCCTTTGAGTTGTTTTAAATGTCAGAAGCGAGGTCCTTCCATGATCGGTGCAGTTAAACCCTTCGTCTCCGGTGGGATTATTATGATGAAACTGACAGCGATGCAGAAATATAGTTAAAAAAAACATGGAATGTTTGGTCTGGCAGAGCGGGGAGAACTGCAGGCTGAAAGGTTTTCTGATGAGGCTCAGAATGAGGATTCCTGGGTGACTAATCAGACCATTACACCCGGTTCCAGGTGGAACATCTGAATGAAGGATGCGAGGAAACGAAAGGTTACCTTCCGACCACAGAAAGGAACGAACAAACTCAGTCTGAGTGAGAGCGCCGGCGCCGCCGCCTGGAGACGTCAGTAGCTGTCCAGCGAATCGTCCCAAAATAAACTCTGAGCGTCCAGCATGCCGGCCAGCTCCAGGATGTGCTTCTGTAAGAGGCTGCTCTCTACCGTGTCCTGCTTCGGCAGCTCGGGATACGATTCCGGGAAGCTCCGAGATTCCTGCCGACACAACAGACAGCTCAGGTTTTTGCTTTTTCATTTTTTAGTCAAACTTTTGGGTTTAGTTTATTTAAAGGCATACTGTGCAACATTTCTCAGTTAATCAATGTGCTCCATAACGTTTTGGATGATTAAATGAGTAATTTCAGGTCGAACAAAGGTATTCTCGGCCTCCCTGGTGGTCTGTAGGGGAAATACCGTACTTGCAATTGCAGGAGCCCTCGGCCCGCACCCACAGGCTCACAAGTCTTGCGCATCGCGAGAGTCGGTCTTGCTTTACGGCGAGAACTGCTACACGCCCCCAGTGAAAGGCATGCTCGTTGCTAGCTCAGTGGCGACATTTGTGCAGTTATCGTGGTTAGTTAACATGCTACATTTTCAAACTCGAAAATTGGAACAAAATAGTCACTTAGACATGGTGATTCGTTGCGTTCTGCTAAGCTCAAAACAACCCGCGCCTGGCTTGACGGAGAAACCAGGAGAACAGCTGAGCATATTTACGACAGTGCACTTTTACTTTCACCCTCTTGGGGGAGCCTCGCTGTAAGATCAACACCAGTTGCATAGTATACCCTTAAGCTCCCTTTAAAAGTATTCACACCGCTAGAACTTCTCTCCCATAATAACTTAATTGTCTCTGTCAATAGAATTACTATTTTTGCCCTTAAAATATGATATTTAGATATTATGAATGACTTCTCAGTGGAGCAGTGGGTAGCACTGCTGCCTTTCAGCAAGAAGGTTCTGGGTTCAATTCCCAGCCCGGGGTCTTTCTGCATGGAGTTTGCATGTTCTCCCTGAGCGTGCATGAGTTCACATGTCTATCACTGTCATCCACAGTCCAAAAAGATGTTTTTGGACTGTGGATGACAGTTAATTGGTTAATTGGTTTCTCTAAATTCTCCTTAGATGTGAGTGAATGTTTTTTTGTCACCTAAATGAAGTTGGCCCCCCCACCTTCTTCAAATCAGACAAAATTAGTGTCAAACGTTTGTGCTGGTTTGTGCAGAAAAAATTTATTGTTTGTGCCGCTATCGTTTTAAAGATATAAAGAAATATTTCTAGAGGTCATCAAAGGTCAACCAGCCCCCCCCCCCCCCCCCCCCCACTTTCTACAAATCAGACGAAATGGGTGTCAATTAACTCAGCTCCATTTGTCCTGGTTTGTGCAGCAAAAAGTTTCGTTTTGTGCTGCTTTGGATTTGAAGATATTAATGAAAATGTAAAGGTCAAAAGGTCAACCAGCCCCCCCAACTTATTTAAATTAGACAGAATTGGTCATCAAAGTGGGTGTCAATTAACTCGGCTCCGTTTGTGCAGCAAAAACAGATTTGAACTGACCTTTGATGACCTCTACAAAATAATATTAATATCATTGAAATGACAGCAGTACAAATGCAAATTTTTGCCATACAAAAATATTAAATTTTAGAATTAATTTTAAACATAAAATATTTAAAATAAATATATAAAAAAATTACAAATGCATAATTTAAAATATATAAATTTTTTTGTAGTGCTATCATTTTAATGATATTAATAATTGTTTGTAGAAGCCATCAAAGGTCAGTGAACATTTGTTCATTCTGAAACTCTGAATTTCATTTAAATTGTAAGTTGCTAACCTTTGATTATATAATTTTAAACTGTAAAAAAATGATAGCGGCACAAACAAACATTTTTGCTGCACATGTTTGACACCAATTTTATCTAATTTGAATAAGGTGGGGGGGGGGCTGGTTGACCTTTTGACCTTTACATTTTCAATAATATCTTCAAAGCCAAAGCAGCACAAATGAACATCTTTGTTGCACAAATGGAGCTGAGTTAATTGACACCCATTTCGTCTAATTTGAAGAAGGTGGGGGGGCTGGTTGACCTTTGATGACCTCTAGAAATATTTCTTTATATCTGTTACGCCCACCAAGGACACAACATATTTGAGGACACGAGACAAAAAATGAGGGTTCAAAAAAAGATATTTTATTAATAAATTCTCTCCGTTTTAGTTGTTCTTGGTTCGGCTTCTTCAGATGTTCTGCGAAGAGAAAAATAGTTAACGGCCCTCAAATCCCGTGCCCCAAAAAAAATAAAAAAAGAAACCCAAAGTAACAACAGAAAGTTGGACCTGGCAGGCCGATCAAACAGAATAAAACGGTACAGCAGGGGGCCAACCCTATACAGGGCCGTCGAAGCCCCTACTGGTACCGGACTAAAGGCAAAAAATAACCTAAGCGAAAGAAAAATCGAAAACAGGACTACCGGTCCCGCCAGGCCAAAAACCTCAAGAAAAAAGTAAGAAAAAGGTAACAAAAATACCACATGGCAGGCTGGAACGTCCGCTGCAGGCCGCAGCGACAAGACAAGTGCGCACCGCGCACGATGGAGCAAATGAAGCAGGTGGGAAGTGGCGTCCAAACGAGGTTGGAAAGGAACGCGCTAACGTGCTGAAGGCCAGCCTATTTATAGGCGGACGACAGCACCACAAATTAACATAATTAACTTGCTAAAAGAATCCCAAAATATATTAACAAAAGATCCTTCAACTAAAGTTTATAAGAAACAAAGAAAAGAAATGGACAAAAATCATAATGTGCCCGAAGCACATAACACCCCCACCCAAAGACTCTGAATGGGGTCTGAAGTAAAAAAAAACCCCAACCCATTCAGAGAAAAAAACAAACGGGACTAGAGACGCGAGAGTGCGTCGGCCACTACGTTGTCTTTACCACGAACATGCTGTATAGAGATGTTAAAGGATTGGAGTCGCAAAGACCAGTTCATCAAGCGGCGGTTTTTATTCCGCATGCGAGCCAGAAAAACTAACAGATTATGGTCCGTAAAAACAACCACAGATCCGCTAGAACCTCCAACATACACCTCAAAATGTTCCAAAGCAAGGATCAACGCTAATGCCTCCTTCTCAATGGTGGAATACCATCTCTGATACTTATCCAGTTTCTTAGAAAAATAAGAAACCGGATGTTCCACCCCATCAGTACCATCCTGGAGCAGGACAGCTCCGACACCAGAATCACAAGCGTCCACAGCCAACTTAAATGGTACATCAAAACGAGGAGCAGACAACACAGGAGCATTAACCAGCAAATGCTTAGTTTGCTCAAAAGCAGATTGACACCGATCAGACCAAATAAAAGCCACTTTAGGGCTAAGTAGGTCTGTCAACGGGGCAGCCACAGAGGAAAAGTTTTTACAAAACCCCCTGTAGTAGCCAACCATCGCCAGATAGCGGCGTAGCTCAGTACGAGTGGTGGGCACTGGGACAGAAAGAATAGCCTCTACTTTAGCCTCAACGGGGCGCACCTGACCTCCCCCGACCCTTTTTCCAAGATAGGTCACCGTCGCGTGGCCGAATTGGCATTTAGAAAGATTAACTGTCAAATTAGCCTCACTCAGACGCGTAAAAACAGTTTTTAAATGGTCAACGTGCTCAGTCCAGGTAGCAGAACAAATCACCACGTCATCCAAATAAGCCTCACAGAATGATAAACCCGACAAAACAACATTCATTAGCCGTTGAAACGTCGCTGGGGCGTTACGCATCCCAAAAGCCATCACGGTGTACTGAAGGAAATCATCGGGTGTGACAAAGGCGGAAATCTCCTGGGCTCTCGCCGTTAAGGGCACCTGCCAGTACCCCTTTAGCAAATCCAGCTTCGTAACGAACTGGGCAGCCCCCACATGGTCCACACAATCCTCCATACGAGGGAGTGGATAGCAATCCGGCCTAGTCACCCCATTTACCTTCCTGAAGTCCGTACAAAAACGGTCCTCCCCATTGGCTTTAACAGTCAGGAGACATGGTGAACTCCACGCACTACTGCTGGCAACAGCAAGTCCATGTTCCACCATGTACTCCACCTGCGTCTGCAAACGGCGCCGTTTGTCTGGGTTCACTCTGTACGGGTGTTGTTTAATTGGCCTGGAATCACCAACGTCAATGTCATGGCTGAGCACACGAGTCTGAGTGGGAATATCTGCAAACAGAGACCTATGAGACTGGATCAAATGAACCACATCAGCCTGCTTGGAAAAATCAAGGTGTGACAACAAGAGAGGCAAGTTCCCCAACACCGCTGAATTTGGAACCCTCCCTTCAGTAACAGCCGGGGAGAAAACGTCATCTTCAGGTTCAGCACCGGACAGCTCCTCCCGTGCATCTGCAGCTGCCCCGACATCTGCGTCATCTCGTTCACTGGAAACACAACTGATAGATTTATGCAGAGCAGATGCACGTTCGACGTACGGCTTCAGCATGTTCACATGACATAAGCGTGAAGTGCGCCTCCGATCAGGAGTAGAGATCAGATAATCACGATTACCAACCTTTCTCGTGATTGTATAAGGCCCACTATAGCGCGCTTGCAAGCTGGAACCAGGAACCGGAAGTAACGCTAACACTTTCTCCCCAGGCTGAAAAACTCTCAAAACTGCCCTTCTGTCAAACAAGGACTTCATTTTAGCCTGTGCAGTTTTAAGATTCTCTTTAGCAATCTCACACACACGATTCAACTTCATCCGGAAATTACTAACATAGTCTAACAAATTCAGGTCAGATTTGTCACACAACCACTTCTCTTTCAACAGCCTTAAAGGGCCGCGAACAGTTTGAGCAAAAACCAAGTCCGACGGGCTAAACCCCAGAGATTCCTGAACCACCTCCCGAATAGCAAACATTTGTAAATGTACACCTTCATCCCAGTCTTTTTCAAACTCCAAACAGTAGGTGCGAAGCATTGTTTTTAAAGTTTGATGGAAACGCTCGAGTGCGCCCTGACTCTCTGGGTGATAAGCGCTGGAATGACAGTGCTTTATGTCCAATTGACGTAAAACCTGTGCAAAAACTCTAGACATGAAATTAGACCCCTGGTCAGTCTGCACAACCCGAGGTAAACCAAACAATGAAAAAAACTTTGTCAATGCTTTAACCACTACGGGCGTAGTTATTTTACGCACCGGAAAAACCTCTGGAAAACGAGTAGAGGTGCACATCACCGTTACTAAGAATTTATTCCCCGCTTTGGTTCGAGGCAACGGACCCACACAGTCAACCAATACTCTCTCAAATGGTTCAGTGATGGCTGGGATGGGATACAAAGGAGCAGGAGAAATCGTCTGATTTGGCTTTCCAGACACTTGACAAAAGTGACACGAATTACAATAGCGCACGACATCGCTCTTCAATCCTGGCCAAAAGAAATGACGCAAAATGCGATCATAGGTCTTTCTGATGCCAAGGTGACCCGCTAACGGATTATCATGTGCCAAACGCAAAATTTCTGAACGATATGGAGATGGAACAACAATCTGCTTCACCACACTCCACTCTTCAACAGGAGACACATTCAAAGGGGTCCATTTACGCATCAGAAGACCATCATCCAAAAAATAGCCAGTAGAAATAGAGTCAGGCTTATCAGTTAATGCATCGCCGAACAATGACTCCAAACTCTTATCACTTTTCTGGAGCTCGATCAACTGCTTCCTAGACCATGATAGCGTATTCACATCCAACATGTCATCCTCCACAGTTCGCTTCAATGGAACATGTTCGGATTCAGGGTTGAACAAAAAACTTCCACTCAAGTCAAACTCATCTTTCCTCTCGGCTTGATGACGTTTAAGTGCTGCACGCGTAACTGCGCATGACGTGAAAACACCTGGGAATTTACGGGCGAGCGCATCTGGACAGTCGCTCAACACCGGAACAGGTGTAACCTCTGGGGTAACCAATACTCGACCCCCAGCCAAATCGTTGCCCATGATCATGGAGACGCCCGCTATTGGAAAACTAGGACGCACCCCAACCACAGCGTCACCAGACCACAGCTCAGACTGGATCACGATTTTATGCAGAGGAACGCAGATTTCTTGCATGCCAAAACCACGCACTGGAACATCAGAGCCAATCGCAGTGTCGTTATTCAACGGCAAGATTCCCTCCATAATAAAAGATTGAGAGGCAGCAGTGTCTCGTAATATTTTTACAGGGATCTTTTCACCAGTTAGAGACAAAGAAACAAATCCATCCATAATGAAAGGCTTAAAATCAGCATACTCGCAAGGCTGTGTTGAAAGCGGATGAACATCGCCTTTCACAGTTTTAATTAGAGCGACGGGCTTAGTGTTCTTTTTCTGCAAAACCGGGCAATTGGCTATAACGTGTCCACCCTTTTTACAATAGAAACACGTCCCATTAGTTTTTAATTCCAACCTGTTATCCGATTTGCCTCCCACGCCACCGAGCGCAGCAGATACATCTGTTTCAACAAGCGAGGCAGTTTTGGCCCACTCCTTCCCATTATTTTCAGAGTGGTCAAACTTACTAAAGAGATGTGAGCGCTCAAAATTACTTTTGTGCGTTAACATGTACTCATCAACGAGCACCGCAGCTTCTGACACATTTGAGACTTTATTTTCATTCAAGTAGGTGGTAACTTTCTCAGGCAAATTATTTTTAAAGTCTTCCAACAAAATAAGTTGCTTAAGCTGCGCAAAATCGGCAACCTTCTTAGAAGCGCACCAACGATCAAAGAGAATTTCCTTATCTCTAACAAAATCCACATAAGTTTGATTGTAGCATTTTTTTAACTTACGAAATTTCTGACGATAAGCCTCTGGTACTAGTTCATATGCCCTCAAAACAGCACTTTTAACTTTTTCAAAATCAAGGCTATCAGCCACAGAAAGAGACGCATACGCCTCCTGCGCTTTGCCACTTAATGCACACTGTAACAACAAAGTCCACACATTTTTGGGCCACTTAAGTGTGAGTGACACTCTTTCAAATAAAGTAAAGTATTTATCAACATCCCGCTCATTAAATGGAGGAACCAGGCGAACATTTCTACTCACGTCAAAATCAGTCGATTTGGGTTGTGAGGACTCAGCACCAAGCTCGAGTTCCTTCAAACGCAGTTCGGCTTGTATCTCTAATCGTCGCTGTTCAAGATGCAGCTCCTTTTCTCTCAAAGCAAGCCGACCCAATTCAACTTCCAGTTCCTTCAAACGCACCGGGTCATCTTTCAACGAAGCCTTCGATGGCGATCCAACAGGACTTTTCGGAAAAACTGTAGCAGGAAAAATTCCTATCTGCACCAGCGCTTCTAACAACTCAGCTTCAACTGTTCCCCTCTTAACGCGTTTATCTACGGTAACCTTGAAATGCTCGGCTATTAACAGCAACTGATCCTTTGTGCAGTTACGCAAAGTATCCAACGTGGGCCCTCGAACAAACTCATCCAGGTCAAACTCCATGTCTACCCCTGGAATCAAGCCACACCAAATCAGGAACACCTCTGCACAAATGAAGCTACAGCACCACCAGAACCGAATGCTCTAACTAATCAGCGCAACGCACGTCAGCTGCGCAAAAATACACACAAACCCAGCACAACCGCCAACAAACAAGAACCAACCGTAGGACACGACCTGTCTCTAAAAGGCACACTTTGTTTAAACAAGCCCCCAAAAATATGTTACGCCCACCAAGGACACAACATATTTGAGGACACGAGACAAAAAATGAGGGTTCAAAAAAAGATATTTTATTAATAAATTCTCTCCGTTTTAGTTGTTCTTGGTTCGGCTTCTTCAGATGTTCTGCGAAGAGAAAAATAGTTAACGGCCCTCAAATCCCGTGCCCCAAAAAAAATAAAAAAAGAAACCCAAAGTAACAACAGAAAGTTGGACCTGGCAGGCCGATCAAACAGAATAAAACGGTACAGCAGGGGGCCAACCCTATACAGGGCCGTCGAAGCCCCTACTGGTACCGGACTAAAGGCAAAAAATAACCTAAGCGAAAGAAAAATCGAAAACAGGACTACCGGTCCCGCCAGGCCAAAAACCTCAAGAAAAAAGTAAGAAAAAGGTAACAAAAATACCACATGGCAGGCTGGAACGTCCGCTGCAGGCCGCAGCGACAAGACAAGTGCGCACCGCGCACGATGGAGCAAATGAAGCAGGTGGGAAGTGGCGTCCAAACGAGGTTGGAAAGGAACGCGCTAACGTGCTGAAGGCCAGCCTATTTATAGGCGGACGACAGCACCACAAATTAACATAATTAACTTGCTAAAAGAATCCCAAAATATATTAACAAAAGATCCTTCAACTAAAGTTTATAAGAAACAAAGAAAAGAAATGGACAAAAATCATAATGTGCCCGAAGCACATAACAATATCTTTAAAACGATAGCGGCACAAACGAAAAAATGTTCTGCACAAACATTTGACACTAATTTTGTCTGATTTGAAGAAGGGGGGGGGGGGCAACTTCACTCAGGTCAAACGTTTGTGCAGCAAAAAATTTAGTTTGTGCTGCTATCGTTTTAAAGATACAAAGAAATGTTTCTAGAGGTCATCAAAGGTCAGTGAACATTTGTTCATTCTAAAACTCTGAATTTCATATAAATTATAAGTTGCTAACCTATGATTATATAATTTTAACCTGTAAAAAAATGATAGCGGCACAAACGAAAATTTTTGCTGCACAAACGTTTGACACCCATTTCGTCTAATCTGAAGAAGGTGGGGGGGCCAACTTCACTCAGGTTTTTTTTGTCCTGTTTGTCTCTGTGTTGCCCTGCGATAGACTGGAGACATGTCCAGGGTGGACCTCGCCTCTCACCCGTAGACAGCTGGATGTAGGCAGCAGCAGCATCCCTCACGACCCCACTTGCGTGACGGAAAATGGATGGATGAATGTCAAAATAGGAGAACGGATGTTTTTTAAAACTTAAATCAACTTCCTCTGTGATAAGAATTTCTAATCTGCTCAAATCAACAAAAAAATTACATATTTCACATAAAAAGGCTTAGTTTGAGTTTGATTTTTTGCAGTGCACTGGAGTCTCTCCAGAACGAAACGGTTTCCTGAGGAGTCAGAGAAGCGCAGACTCACCCGGAACAGCTTGTGTAGTCTCAGCGCAGCTGAACAGAACACGAACCGGATCAGGAGCAGCCGCAGGAACTCGTCACCGAAAAACTGCAAAAAGGCCTGATCTGCAGAGCGAAGAGGAGGTCCAATGAGAGCAGAGACCGGTTACCGAGCGACCAGCTGCTGTTTCTCAAAGGGTTCAGGTTCAGGTTCTGAACCGGACCGACTTACCGATGCTCCGTGATCGGGTTATCATCTGCCCGATGTCCCGGAACACTCTTTGAAGGAATTCTTCAGCACGTTCCCAAAGGCCTCGTCGGACGCTGTTCAAGCCGCAGATGGAGGAGAAAGCCAGGAGAGGACTGTAGAGGAAGAGGGTGAAGAGGCTGCCGCGCTGAGACGGATCTGAAGCAGCAAAACAAACAAACCAGGGAAACGGTCAACAGCAGAACCTGAAGGAGGAGCATCTCCGGGTGGAAGCAGAGAGGAATCCACAGACACCCAGAGATGCTCCGTTCTGTCGGAGGGGAGAGGAAAACCCACCCTGGACGCTTTTTGGATAAACTGTAGGAGACAGCAGGCACACCAGCGGCTGGCCGAACAGGTTGGTGAAGTTCTGTTCAGAGAAAACCCAGAGAGAGTTAAAGGAACCTGGGAAACCGGCAGGACGCAGCCAGTACCGACAGGTTTACCGACCTTATAGGCGGAGCTGTTTGAGGAATCCACGATGATGAAAAGAGGCTTCCGGGTGAAAGGAAACAGATCCCCTGGATGAAGGCTGCAACCATCAACACAAGCGTCAGAGACCCGTTTCAGCCCAGTTCGTGCCGGTTCCCCCCCCATCCTGGGTCAGACTCACCAGTGCATCTCTTTCTGGGCCTGATTCCTCTTCTGAGCCGACTCTCCGTTCACCACGTCCCTGTTGGTGTTGGTCAGAACTCCTCCGAAGTCATACGGACCTACTGGGAATAAAGAACCAGGATACGACTCAACTGGTTTGGACGGGACTGGGAGGTCTGTCTGTGAGACCTGAAGGACAGAAAACCTCCTGAAAACAGTCTGAGGATGATCCGGTTTGGATCAGCTTGAAACACTTTGATGAAGAACCATTGAAGAACCAGAACCAGCTGAGGTTCTGCAGAACTCTCAGATCATTAAAAAGGTTCTTTAGGTTTTATTTTTCAGACTAGGAACTTTAGATTTTCTCCCATAAAGTCAATCTGTTGCTTGTTTTGAGGCTTGTTTTGCTAGTTCTTTCCCAGAAGACTGCAGTCCCAGTGTGACAAGTATCAACCGTGTTTCCGTAGCGACGTCTAGAAGGCTGAATTCAGCACGGCGGCTCCTTTCCTTCCCACCACACTATTCTTCTCACTGTTGAAGGGTTAGATGCAGTTCTTCTTCTACACATCAGTGATTCAGTCTTTCCTCTCCTCATCCATTACTGTGGGGTTTGGCTCATCCACAAAACTATGGAGTGAATTTTGTCTCCTTATTGTTGCATGTTATATAAACTGAAATAAAAAAAATGAAACTTTGAATAATGTTCAATTAACACGTTAGCAACATTTTCACTTTAAAGTCGTTGGGAAATCATATTCAAATGTCAAATAATCTGGCTTAAACATGTATATAAATGTACTCTTTATCAGACCATTTTGTCCCAAAAGTTAGAAAATTTCTATTTAAAAAAATCCTGTCTTGTTATCTTCTGCAGGCCAGTTAGTTATACGTCAGCCTGAACACCTAAATTCGGCCAATCATATATCAACGGTCATCTGTCAATCAAATTTTTTCGGTCATAGCATCTTGACTCATATGTCGCAGCTAATATACGCAACGGTTGAAATCAGAAATCAGAATTGTGTCTTTGTGTTGCCCTGCGACAGACTGGCGACCTGTCAAGCGTGTATCCCCCCTCTCGCCCATAGACTGGCGGAGATAGGCATCCTGGGACCCTGACGGAATAAGCGGGAGAAGATGGGGCCATGTTGGATTTAGTATACGGTAGAATCATTTCTTATTTCCCCCCCAAACAGATTTCTTTGTTTTCAGCTAAATAACACATAATGAGATGTGTAACTATGGTGCAACACAAAAATCTGCCATTCTAACAGAGGGGAGACTTCTTATATCCATCCCAGCGGTTTAACTGTTTAGGTTTGATAAGCAGTGTTTAAAAAAAGAAACAATCAGGGCTGTGTTTTACCTTCGTAATCTAGATGTGTAGCCGGGAAAACGCCGGTGGCCGATAAATACACCAGCAGGACGCTGTTGGCAGGAAGTTCCTGAAAAATCAAAGCCAGGATAACGATTATAAATACTGAAAACGATCCGAGGCAGAGGGAGGAATCGTCACCTGGAAGGATGCAAACCTTTTCGGACGTGAAATAATCTGAGATGTCCATCAGTTTTAATCTGAACTCAAACAACAACAATAATCTAGAGTGTTGGGAATCTATGGAAGTAAATCTGTGTCGCTGGGATTTGAATTAAAAATGGCACTGAAATTTAAATGTTGTATGTTTGTACTTACTGTTTCAGTGTTTAAATATATATTCAGAACACATTTTTGTCATTATTTCTACACAGTTGAAATTTCATGTTATTTTCTCTTCAAGCTAAAAATTCACATTACTATTTCAAAGTGATTACATTTTCAATACTTATTTTTCAGTTAGATTTTTCAGTGTTAAAAAAAATCTGCATATAAAAAATTTCAACCTTTCAAAATTCAAACTCAATATTTTCAGCCTCCTGAGATTCAACTGGATCTATTTCACCGTCATAAATTCAGCATCTAAATTCAGTGTAAAAAGGGAAGGGTTACTTCAGGTCACAGACATTAGCAATGGATTGTGGCGTCCAACACCCAGCCAATCCCTTTACGTTTTCTTAGTCACGTGACGTGGCGCTTGTGGTGCTCATACGGAAGGAAAACCAGCATGACGGAGCCGGTCATGCAAGCTAACGCTAACTCAACTACGGAAAAATGAAAGTAATAGAGTTAGCTAACGCTAACTCAACTATGGAAAAATGAAAGTAATAAACTCACCGTTGAGTTAGCTAACGCTAGCTAACGCTAACTCAACTACGGAAAAATTAAAGTAATAAAGTTAGCTAACGCTAACTCAACTATGGAAAAATAAAAGTAATAAACTCACCATTGAGTTAGCTAACACTAGCTAACGCTAACTCAACTATGGAAAAATGAAAGTAAACTCACCGTTGAGTTAGCTAACGCTAGCTAACGCTAAAACAACTACGGAAAAATGAAAATAATAAAGTTAGCTAACGCTAACTCAACTACGGAAAAATGAAAGTAATAGAGTTAGCTAACGCTAACTCAACTACTGAAAAGTGAAAGTAATAAACTCACTGTTGAGTTAGCTAACGCTAGCTAACGCTAACTCAACTACGGAAAAATGAAAGTAATAAACTCACCGTTGAGTTAGCTAACGCTAGCTGACGCTAACTCAACTATGATAAAATGAAAGTAATAAAGTTAGCTAACGCTAACTCAACTACGGAAAAATGAAAGTAATAAAGTTAGCTAACGCTAACTCAACTATGGAAAAATAAAAGTAATAAACTCACCATTGAGTTAGCTAACGCTAGCTAACGCTAACTCAACTATGGAAAAATGAAAGTAATAAACTCACCGTTGAGTTAGCTAACGCTAGCTAACGCTAACTCAACTATGGAAAAATGAAAATAATAAAGTTAGCTAACGCTAACTCAACTACAGAAAATGAAAGTAATAAAGTTAGCTAACGCTAACTCAACTACGGAAAAATGACAGTAATAAACTCAAACTCTGAGGCTGAAAATATTTAGTTTGAATTTTGAAAGGTTGAATTTTTTTATATGCAAATTTTTTTAACACTGAAAAATTAAACTGAAAAATAAGCATTGAAAATGTAATCACTTTGAAAGAGTAATGTGAATTTTTAGCTTGAAGAGAAAATAAATAAAATAAAGTACAAAAAAAAAAAAAAGTACAAACATACAACATATAAATTTCAGTGGCATTTTTAATTAAAATCTCAGCGACACAGATTTACTTCCATAGAATCGCTCAGTGCTGAAGCGGTGAGGGATCCCCAGGCTGCTATAAACACTGACCTTAAATGAAGCCGACAGGAAGGTGTAGAGTTGGCTGAACGTCGGTTTATACAGCAGGTATTTATGAGGGTTTTCTCTCTTCGCCGGTTTTTCATTGGGCTCCTGAAGAAGAAACACATTCAGACCTCATCCATGTCCCCAGAACCAGACGTAAACCAGCGGAGAGTTTTTCAAATGTGCAGAAACTGTTGCTTCCTTAAATTAGGACTGCTTTAGTTTTTACTATTTTAATCAACCTAACCTTTACTGCTGTCATTATGCTCATTTACAACAAGCTGACGGATTAGAGCCGACACCCACCAGTGTTCCCTGTTTGGAGGTCTGCGTTGCCAGGTTCACTGGTTCCCTCTCCAAAGCTTGAAGCATCCGGAACATGTCGATGGTCAACTCGCTGAACTTCACCTGGAAGCAGCAGAAAAACGTTTCAGGAGAATAACGTTTATCCCATCATTTCTACTATGGATGTTTAGAGAAAGATGATCCTCATCATTCCCGCAACTTTCTCATAGAGCTTTAGCTTCTTCATCAGGAACTCGGCTCTCAGTAAAAAATAAATAGATTTATTAAGGCTGAAGGACAAACGGCCATGAAACCATCCTAAGGGATAACAATATGGAGGAGATCAACAAAACAAACTTCTGAAAGTACCATAAACTCCGGACTATAAGCCGCTACTTTTTTCCCCCTGTTTTAACACCTGCCTATAATAAAGTGTGGCTAATACATGTTTTTTTTTCACGGTGCGAAAAACAGACCAATAAAATTGATGAGTATTCATAGAGGTGATGACCAGTGGCGAGAAATTCATCACCAAAACTGGCTGCATGCGAAGAGACTGAAGTCAGTGACATCATCCTGAAGCTGTTCCATTCAGACACAGAGGAAGAGGACTTTGAGGGTTTTAGTGCGCAGGAGGAAGAAGAAAGTGATTAATGACTTTTCCTGCTCGGCTGCAATGTTCTGTGCATTATACAATTAAAAGTACCAGTATATGCAGCGTTATTTGTGTGTTACCGACACATACGTATATTTAAATGTGTTACAGGTAGTTTGAAAAAAAAAGCATTCATAATATGTACCGTATTTGTTTGTTTTATCATACGGATTGAATCATACGTAAAAAAAATGCTCACGTGTAATATCTTTATTTGTAAATATCTCATACAACGTGGAAAACCTGCGGCTTAAAATCCGGTGCGGCTTATAAAAGTACAAAATTGATTTTCTTTCTAAAATTAGAGCGTGCGACTTGTAATCAGGTGCGCTCTATAGTCCGGAATTTACGGTACTTTAAATATTAAATTATTCCATACTGTTCAATAAATGATCAGTGTTTTTAATTAAGAGTAATTTTCATGTGAATGTGCTTTACTGGAGGCATCCATGTTTGTCAAAGAACACTACTGCCACCTATTGGTTTGTGACGTCACGGTGCGGTATCGGCTGTTGATCAAGTCCCAGTGCTGTATCTGGTGTTTGTCACAAAGCGCTATTATCCAAGTCATCGTGAAAACATTCTTCTTCCAAATGTTGGCTACATATTACGTGTTTTTTCTCTGGCCAGAAGTTCGATGGCAAATCCTCCCTCTTCCAGTTGGCGATCCAACGACCAACCCGTCCGTGGAGGATCAGGAATCAGAAAGGTGGAATAACTCTTTTTTTTCACTTTTACCCGATGTATTCCAGCATCCAGCTGCCATGCACGTGGGCATTGTCAGTTTCACTATAGCTCTGGTGAATTTCAATGGTGAAGTCCTCTGGAAATCTTCAATAATTGTTGTTGATTGCAGATGTGTCTAGTAGTTCCCATTGATTTAGCTTGGAAAGCGGGGAGAATGGCGGTAGGCTTACCGCACCATGACGTCACTGCTGGAAAATGGCAGGAGGGAGGGGTTACTATATTTGGGCAAAGATGGCCGCTCCCAGACAATTATCGTTATTTTTTTACTGATTAATGCTAAATTCATTAAATCACCACGGATGTACTAGTTTCAGATATAAATAATGACTATATTCGGGGGAAAATGGCCGCTCCCCCCAGACTCCATGATCGCAACAAAAATTATTGTTTTTATTTTTTTTACTTATTAACACTAAATCTATTAAATCACAGCAAACTTATTCATTTTAGGTGTAGATCCATTGATTATTCCTTGATGACCCGACTTTTCCTTTAAAGGAGTAAAGAATGCGGCGAATAAATGAAAAAAAAACAACATAAAGGACAAAATGCGTAATTACTAAGCAGCTAATTTATTAACTGAGTCTTTATTCCTTTTTACTATTCACTTCTTTCTTTATCATGACTGGTCCTCTTAATGCAGCTCCACCTGGTCATGTGACCATGCACCTATTGGTTGGTTTAGTGATCTGTTAACTAGATTGGATCATCTTTGTAGAATCGGGTCCTGTTCTGTTACCTTGCCAGAATAACTGAACTAATAATTCCCAGTTGGTGAAATTCGTCCCGCAGCATTATGAATAGGAACACATTTTTATGTCTAGATGGAAAAAGATCAGTGACGACATTTCTAAAAAAAAAAAAGTCCAGATTTTATTTGAATTATACCATATAGTTTATTATATTTACATAGTTTTTCTATTCTTTATTTTTCTATTTTTTAATTTAATTTAATTTTTTTTCTTTTATATGTTAATTATCTTTCATATTTATTGTATTCTTTTGAATTTTTAGTGAACTTTTCTTTATTGTTTTAAATGCAAAATATAATTTTTTTTTCCTAATTTTCTTATACTTTATTCATATATTTATTTTGGTTTGGGCGGCAATATATCTATTTCATTTCCTCTTTATTTCTTAAAATATTTTCTTTTCTAGTTTTTGTGAAAGTTGTATTTTGTGTGTTGTCAATTTATTCTGCTAGTTTTTGTCATGTTTTGTTTTTATTCACTTAGTTTTATTTTTTATGAATGAACAAATTTTTTTCCTTTTCTTCAGATTTAATGTTATTTGAATTTAAATGTTGAACAGAGAATCTGACGGTTTTTAACAGAGGAAACCTCCTTAAGTGGGTCAGAACCTGGTTGTTGCAGTTTCCGACGATCAAAGCGTCAGCGAGGACGAGCTGACCCACCACCATCCCCTGCTCTAGCGGAGGAACGCTGCCCTCCTGCAGCCGGTTGCTTGTGACAAACACCGAGTTGTTGTCGTTCAGAACCACCACCGGATCGGCCTGTTCCACACCAACAGAGCACAGAGAGTAAACCGATCAGAAGCCGCAGACAGTGTTACACAGAGACCAGAGGTCCTGGATTACCTCGATAAAAGCCGCCACTTCCTGCAGAACCAGGTTCCATTCCAGTTGGTCCTCGGTGTTGAAGCGCTGGGTGTAGTCTTCGATTTCATCCGATAACTCCTGCAGACCACAAAGCACAGCCGAATGGGGATGAAGTTAGAAAACTGGTTTGGAGGAAAGCTGAAAACCTCAGAGTACGAAATAAAATCCAAACACCATCAATATCAAGACGTGGGATCCTACAGTAAACAATAAATGCTTCCAGATAAGAACCATGTTCCCTCCTAACCTTCACCAGAACTTTGACCAGATCCATCTTGTTCAGCAGTAGACACACCACGATGTAACGAGCGTAATAACGAAGCTTCTTCACCACCAGTTCAGGCCTGTTGGAAACAAGACGGCTGGAGCTCAGAGCAAAAGGTCCAACTTGACATAAACTGAAAGTAGTAAATATGGAGGAAACAAATCGGACCTGTCCTCCTTGTTGACCTGATAGTAGTAGGAACGCTGCCGGATCGCGGAGTAGAAGGAAAACGCTTCGTTCAGATAGCTGGTTTCTGAGGTACGGAGGCTGAAGATGGAGGAAGAGAAACGAATGTCGACATTCAGGAAGTGGAATCAAATTTGTATCATTACGGTTAAAGGAGGTCAGCAGAGTCCAGAGTCGAGATTGGGGAGATTTTTCACCGTTCAACATCATTCATTATCAGTGCGTATGAAATCGTACAAAAAGTTATGCACACTATTTCGTACGTTTTGGACGGTTTTCCTAAAAAAAAACACATCAGTGCGCATGCACTGGCAGACAGAAAAAAAAAGAAGATCCGCGGACGGACGGAAAACTGGGAAAAACAGTGCAATCATCACTTATTCATGTCTCTAACTACGTTAGTGAATGGTGCGTCAGATGCGCATACTACGAAAAAAACATCCAAAACGTACGAAATTACGGTGCATAACTATTCGTACGATTTCATACGCACTCATAATGAGAATAGGTTGCACCATTTGGAGAGATTCTGAATGGCCTCAAGCTCCTGGTCCCGAACTAAAACCAAGCAGCTGACCTCAACATTACCGAAGAATCAAGCGATGACCTTTTAAAAACTGCAACAATAAAGCCAACTGATTGGTTAAAACTTTCCTTCACTGAGAACAAATCCCTGAGGATTAAATAAAGATGATCTAAGAGATTGAGACTATATCTTTGTGAGCTTTAATGGTTTAATAAAACCAAGGGGTCACACAACAGAACCCTGTGGAACTCCATTACTGATTTATTTACAGCTATACACTCAAGATGTTCCCATTCCAGAGGTTCTACAATCACAAGATTCCCATTTTATGTTTGGACTAAGAACCTTTCAGACTTACTAATAATGGTAGTAAAGTTGTCCGATCTTGGATGCGACCTCTCCAATCTGCCATCTCTTCAAACCGTACCGCGTATCCAGGACCTGCCTGTCGAGAAAATATAAAATAAACAGAATCTGAGAGCCTGAAAAGTAGAAATAGGAGCAGCTGCAGCCGAGGGGAACATCTAAGGGATTCCTTACATCAATCCCAATTTAATTGACCGCGGAAACAGTGAGATTAAGATTCCGCTATCCCAACACTAAAGCTAAGCTTTTCTGGATATTTTCTGTAATCCTGCTTGGTGAGTGCTGCTGCATTCATGGCTGACCTTCCTCTTCGCCCAAAGATCTTTACTTTTCCAGCTCGGCCTCCTTTTGGAGTCTGAATATCATATTAGTTGAACAGAACTCCTGAGGCTGATCAGCTTGGGTCAGAGGAAATTCCCCAAGAACTGAATCTGATTTCTGGCTTTGACTCATAGAAAAGCTGATTCTTTGAAAGAAGACAAAAACCGGTAGATCATCCTAAGTCCTGTCCTTAAAGTCAACTAAAGGACACTGAAGGAAAACTGTTAATGGTTTAAAGACAAGTACTACTGAGCAGTGGCGGCTAGCCAATAGAGGGCGCAATGAGCCTGATTAAGACATACATTTTTTTTTTTATAATCTAATTTTAAATAAAATTTCAAATATTTCGAAACATATTAATATATATATTTTAGCTGTGCAAAATAAATATTTAATCCTTAATTACTAGCAAAGCATCATTCCATTTTTCGCAGGATTGTTGACATATTTCCGCCCTAGGGCACAAAAATCTTTGCTCATTGAATCTTGTTAAAAGTCGTACATGCGCAGTAGCTCCTCTGCAATAGAGAAGCATAGGAGCGCTTGGGGCGTAGGAGAGCTGTGCCCTGAGGAGACAGGAAGTGTATTTGCTCACCACCTCCCACCACAGCTCAGACATTTTGTGGGTGATTGACAGGACTAGTCGCGGGAGTTAAAGAAACAGAGTGTGAGAGAGAGAAATGGTGCAAGAAACGTCAATTTCCAGGGCCTGGTTTAGCTATAAGGCTTGGCTAACTGCATGCAGTGAGGCTGAGGCTTTATTCTGCTTTCCCTGCCTCCTTTTTCAAACGTCAGGATCTAAACTAGCATTTATAAAGGCAGGTAGGACTGATTTAAAACATATAGGGTACTTTTTCTAGATGTCTGTTAATTTGAATTGTTGCTCTTAAATAAACACATTCCCAGAAAATAGTTTTTATATATTAAAAAAATATAAAGCTGACTAATAGCTTGTCCATTATTAAACTGGTACAGTATTTTTCAGGCTTGTGAAACTATCTTGGACCATGCGAAACACAAATTAACTTTCACAAAACCTCAGAAGGGCGAAATTTATGTACAATAAACCTGTACATGAAATTATGTTTTGGCATTTATATAAATATGCTGGTGTGATAACTAGAGTTGTGCAGATGCCATTTTTTGACCCCGATACCATCTGTTTGAAATTGATGTGTGAAGAACTGCATACTACATGGATGTAGTATTATAATAATAATGGCTTTGCCTACCTTTGTGAAGCAGGAAAAAGACTAATACAAAGTGAATCCAGTAGAACTTTTTATTGCCTACCTGGAATGGGTGACAATTGTTGAATAAACTTTTGGCTCTCAAATAAGGCATTGGGGCCCTATTTGTTGGTACTCGCCGATAACGATACCAGCATTTTAGTGCTGGTATCGGTGCAACACTAGTGATAACTTAGTGCACACTCACTTCAAGCTGGAAAAGCCCAACAAATTTGGAATATAAGTCTTGCCACGAAAGAGCCAGCAAGAAAAGACTCAAGGCTGAAGGAAATTCCTGTGCAGCCTGCTCTCCAAACAGGCTGCACAGGAATTTCGATGCACTCAGTGACTGTTGATAAACTTCCATCTCATCAAGGACATTGCCTGTGGTCAGCGTTCACGGACAAATTGAACGCATTCATCATACTAGGGATGCACTATATTGGGATTTTGACCGATATCCGATATGCCGATATTATAAAACTCATGTAGCCGATAACCGATATCGATACCGATGTTAAAGCTGGACAAAAATAAGTAGTCATTGAAAATAGCAGTTTTGTTATCCATTTCTGACACTTTGAAAAAATAATATATTCAAATACATTTTCATATGCTGATATCAAATAGATTTTTAAAAACGCGGTATCAATCTATTTTACTTTCAAAATCTCGTGAAATTTCATTGTTCTGTTACAAACTCTCCTGATATTTTGCAAATTCTTGTGAGATATTTTTAGTAAAATAGATCGATACCACGTCAATATATCAACATATAAAAATATGGCAAAATTTCGTGAATTTTCGGGGGATTTCGTAGCATATCGATGACATATAGCAATACTTCATTAGTAAAAGAGATTGATATGGTGTTTTTAAATGGCAATATATCAGCATATGAAGATATTGGGATATTTTAATGTATCAATATTTTTTCCCTCGTCTTTAGAAGTTTTTAAGTCTGTAAAAAATAAGTTTTTGAGGAAGAAGAAGAAGTAGTATTTTTATTTTTTTTTTTAGACTTTAGAAACTCAGAAGCTGATCAAATATCAGGTTAAATATCGGTGGGGTGGCCGATGTCCGATATTCAGTTTTAAGGCCGATACCGATAGGGGGCCGATTATATCGTGCATCCCTACATCATACACACACACACATCTAATGTCTCAATATGTCAGATTGACTTAATGTGGCTCCGCCTCTGATGTGAACCTCAACTGAAATGTCTGTCTCGTGTTTTTATGAGCTTTTCTTGAGCTGAGTTTTTTTTATATCTTAAGCGGTGTCCTGTCAAGGATAAAGTATAAAAAATGCTTTTTTCTTTCCCCTCTCTTCCCCAATGTGGATCCTATCTTTCCACAGAGATAAAGGCAGCGCTATAGGAAACCGCCTGGGACCTGGGAAGCCAGGTAACCGGTAGGAACCTGGCAAGCCATACGCTACTAGATGCCCTCTGTGGGATTCATGCTACCGAAGGATTTTAGTTATGATGCTTTAAATGTCAAATTCCAACCTGTCCATCCATTGCTGCTAAGGGATGGAAGAGGTTAAAGCAGAAAAACAGAGAAAAGTTTCATTAAATTTTTTGAAGTCAAGGTTTATTCGTTGGTTCAGCAGCAAAGAAAATAAAGACCAAACTATGAAACAGGCTGATGGATGAGGTGGGAATCACCTGTGCTGCTGCTGGAATTTCCACAGCTTGGTGTAGACGTCGAAGGTCCTCCCAAAGTACGACTGCCACTGTTTGTGTCCATACTGAGGAAGATCTCTGCAGCAGGGAGGAAGAGGAGGCATGGTCAGACAGAACCAATGTTAACATCCAGGTTCCCTCAGCTCCTGGCTCTCTCCAGGACGACTGGTTTCATTTTAACATCAATGAGTTTATTTCTAAGACTCTAAGGAGGAACAAAAAACTTATTTTTCTTTGAAGAAGTCGATTTTTCTGTCAGAAAAGATCTGAACCTGGATTCCCATCTGAGCTGAACACTGAGCCGGCGCCGTCTTCCAGATCTAATGCGCTTCCAAACGTCTGAAAGCTTCAATGTTTGATCTGAACAAACCTGGACTTTAAAAATAACCTCGTCCCATTAGACAACATGAACCAGATACTGCTCATTTATTTCATTAATATCTGAGGATCAGAAACACATTTATCTCTGGGAAATATCATAGGAAACATGCAGGGAAAGGGAAATGTGGAAGGAAAAATGAAAGAAGAACTGGAAGGAAATAAAGAAGGAAAGGAGGTAAGAAATAAGGAAAGGAACGATAAAACAAGGAAGGAAATGTGGAAGGAAACCTGAAAGAGATAGGAAGCATTAAAGGAATCTAAGAGAAGGTAGGAAACGTGAAAGTAAGCGTTGAAGGAAATGAGGTAGGAAACAAATGTAGTAAATTAGGAAGGAAGGAAAGGAACCATGGCAGCTTGCTGAAGCCTGTTTTTCTTTGCAGATGTATTAAAAGGAGATTCTCTTCAGATCTGAATCTAATCTGCTCTCTGAAGCCTGAAAATAGTCTGCGAGCGACGATGAAGTCATTCTGTCCGTGATTCAGATCTGAGTAGGAAGCAGAAGCATCTCTGACTAACAGCCTCCCAAAATCAGCCCAGATCAAACAGATGGAGGCTTTCAGTCTTTCACTTCACTCGGGAGGAACTTTGATCCGATGGATCTGCAGCTCACTCTGGTTTCTGCTCTCCTCTCTGAGGGCTAAAGGCTGGACTTTGACTAGGCCATCCTGTAGCCGATCTGCAGGCTCAACAGAAGGCTCTATCCAGAACATTTATTTTATCCCAGAGCTGTTAAATATTGCAGTTTTTGCTTTAATCTATCTTAAATGAAATGAAGAAACCGCTTTTCCTTCCACCGTCATCATAGCCTGCACCCTTTCACACGCTGTAGATATTTCATCACAGATATGCAGTATCTGCCTCCTCTCTCCTTGTTTTCTGTTGCCTCGTTGGCCGGCTGTCGCATCCAAACTCAGCAGGGAAACCCCCGCTGCCCCATATGGCCGATCCGTGTGTTTGCAATCTCTCTGAGCTGGTTGTGAAATCAGCTGTAACAACAGAACAGAGCCTGTCGACTGAATAACTGCTCATTTATTCCAAGCTCAGCAGAATCAGCAGCTTTTTCCATTCAGTCCAGCTTATTTTTAAATCTCCCTGATATGAGATGAACAAATGAAAAACATTTCATTAAGAGTGGGTTTATTCACGGTCTGAAATCTGAACCGGTCAGAGACCAAACGTGGAATCAACGGCACCGAACCGGAAGGAGGAAGGATTCTGCTTGGACATCATAAGGAGGCTCCTGCAGACTCATAGGAGCGGATCAGGAGCTAAAGGTTGCTGGACTGATCTGAACTGACCTCAGCCCGTTGAAGAGCTGCTTGGATTTATCCAGCAGGTAGCAGAAGTCCGTGACGGTTTTTCGTTCTCCTAAAGGAATATCATCCTCAGTCTCCGCTCCAGTCATGACACTGACTTTTCACACCTGGGAACAAACAGAAAAACCTGCAGTCAGTCACGGCTCAGGTTAAACTAACAGGAGAAAAAAATGGCTGCAGTTGCTGAATAAATATTTAAACAGAATGGCAATAAAAAAAATCATAACAGTAGATTAGAGTCCAGCTTTATGGAGGTGATTCCAACTGTGGACGAACACGCAACATTTTGGCAGATGGCCGCTCATGCTGAGCCTGGTTCTGCTGGAGGTTTCTTCTTGTTAAAAGGAAGTTTTTCCTCTCCACTGTGGCTACATGCTTAGTATGAGGGATTGCCTTAAAGTAAATGAGTCGATGCAATCAATTGGTTTTCCTTAGATAGAAAACTTTGAATAAATCTGACTGGATGATGTGGTGAACTGGAAAGATCTCGAGACGACATGTTGTGAATTGGCGCTATAGAAATAAACTGAAATTAATTTAAATTATAGCAAATTTTAATTCAATGCAGGAGAAAAAAAAATCTACATGCATTTTGTTTACGAAATGCTTAGTCATTTTGAAATAATTTTTATTTTCTTATAATTTAACTGTCTTTTGTTGATCTAAATCAGGGGTCTGCAACCTGTGGCTGCAGAGCCACATATGGCTCTTTGGGCCGTCTCCAGCAGCTCTTAATAGTGGCCAAAATGTATATAAAGAGCTAAATAATTTACTATAATATATACCAGTATCTACGGAAGAGGATTAGGGCCACAGTAAAAAAAAAATAAAGTTAACTGATTTTTTAATTTTATTTCAGTTTAACATGGGGAAAAAAGTCAGAATTCTGAGAAAAAAGTCAGAATTCTGAGATTAAAGTCAGAATTCTGAGATTAAAGTCAGAATTCTGAGATTAAAATCAGAATTCTGAGAAAAAAGTCAGAATTCTGAGATTAAAGGCACACTATGCAACATTTTTCAGTTAATTAATGTGTTCCATAACGTTATGGATGATTAAATGATTCATTTCAGGTGGAACAAAGGTATTCTCGGCCGCCCTGGTGGTCTGTGGGGGAAATACCGTACTTGCAATTGCAGGAGCACCGACCCGCACCCACAGGCTCAGAAGTCTCGCGAGAGTCGGTCTTGCTTTACGGCGAGAACTGCTACACGCCCCCAGTTAAAAGCATTCTCCTTGCTAGCACAGTGGCGATCTTTGTGCAGTTATGCTACGTTCACATCGGACGCAGCAAAATCGTGTCTGCTGCTTCATTTTTGCTGCTTGTACCAGTTAGTTCTGACGCGCGGCTGAAGCAGCTTTGCTGCTCTGGCTGCGCGGTGCAAAAGTGTGTCTGACGCGCGTTGGGCGGAGCTTCACTATCCTTTCTCTGCCTTGCAGCTATATTTGCTGTGATCATTTGGAATAAAGTAGTTTTAATATGTGTTTAAGTGAAAAAATACACCTGAAAACGTAATCAGTGCCGTCAGTTCATTCAGATTATCATCCTGCCTTCAATATTTTTTCTGTCGGAGCCGCTCAGGCCCCCACATACCAGCGGTGCGCCGACAGTAGGGATCCCTTCATCAGCAGCCTCTGGCCGGGTCGCCTCCTCGCGGTTCACCGCGGCAGCTGGTAGGTGTTTTTCACCCCAGATTTCTGCATTTTAAGTTAATTTAGGCATCAATAAACTGTTTAAGAGGAGTGATCATCAGCGCTGTGTCTCTCTCCCTGCGTCAGATGCTTAAACGCGCCCGATGCGCTGCTTCAGCTGCTCAGACGTGCTGCGCCTGCTGCTCAAAACGCGCCGCGGGACCTTTTGCTGCGCCTTGACGTTACGTTGCATGTAAACTCGCTGCTTCTGTCGCGCCAGCTGCGGTGATAACGCAGCATTAGTCATTTGTTGCGTTCGCCTGTCTGCTAAGCTCAAAACAACCGCGCCTGGCTTAACGGAGAAACCAGGAGAACAGCTGTGCATATTTATGACAGTGCACTTTTACTTTCGCCCTCTGGGGGGAGCCTCGCTGGAAAATCAACACCGGTTGCATAGTGTACCTTTAAGTCAGAATTCTGAGATTAAAGTCACAATTCTGAGATTCTGATTTAAATCTCAGAATTCTGACTTTTTTCCCATAATAAACTGAAAAATATATATTTTTTTTTTTCCAGTGGCCCTAATCCTCTTCCGTAGGTATCAATACTGTAGCTTTAGCGATTTTTATAAAATGGAAAAAAATTAGATTAAAAGAACCAGAAATATGTTTTAAGAGACATTTTTCTATGAATTTGCTTGAAAATTATATGTTTTAACATTAAAAATATATGAATTGTTGATTGTTTGAGATGACAACAACTAATTTCCTATACAAGATTTAAAAAAACAAGGTTTCTATAAAAAGTCATGTTATATTTTGCGGCTCTAAACAACTTTTACTTGGTCGGACTTTGGGCAAAACGGCTTTTCGGATATGAAAGGTTGAAGACCCCTGATCTAAATTATCTTTTTTGCTAGATTTTCTGTGCTTTGTATTTCTATTGGTTCTATAAGCTATACATTATCAATTTTTTCTATTGTTTCTTGTTTATTTTTAATGAATTTTATTATTTAATAAGCTTACAATTTATATTTATATTCAGAATTACTTTTTCTCCCCATTACAGCTCATAAAATCTGGCTGGGACCTGATTGGAAACTTCTGCCTTAATAAATAACATGATCAGCCCTGAAGATGTGATTTAATATCTATTAAAGTCGACGGAGGGAACAAACGGGTCAGACATTAAGCCCTGAGATCCTGCTGGTGTCTACAGGTGTCCTACTTCAATCTGTGGAAACTCTGGAAGAAAGGCGTCACGTGGTCCCCGTTTTTAGGCTGACCTGAGCCGTCCCAGATTTCACTCTCACAGCGGATCGAGTCTCTAATTCTCCCAGACGCCTGTGCAATCAGGTCGAGCAGCGCAGTCGGGTCAGAACGTTCAGACGCTGCTCATTAAATCGCTACAAAAACATAAAAGATGAGTAGATTCTGCTGCAGAGACGTCTGATGATCGGAGTTTTCATATCAGCTGTTGCAACGTCCAGACTCCTCCGGAACGAGATTAATAAATCCACCTGAAACCAAATATTTAAGGTTTCAGACCAGATAAGAACACTTAAGGGTCCAGATATTTTAGAGATGTTGAAGCAGCAAATAAAAAAAAACAAACAAAAAGTTAAAAATAACCAAATAAAGTTGGATTTTACTAAATTCCTCCATGCACAAGTATGTGGTGACAGTGGGGAGAAACCCCCTCATTTGAACGGGATGCTACCTACAGTAACCAGAGCTACGACAGTTAGCAGACAGAATAAAACCCAGATGTACCGGTTCAAGAGGACCCACTAACTTCTGTCCCAGTAAATCACACTAAGCTGTGCACTGCTGTTCTGCAGACAAACTGGGGAAACTGGTTTGATGTGTTACTCCAATTTTAAATATTTTATATTTTGAAATATTATCTCAATCTGAATGAATATGTCCACCTAAATTGTATTTAGGTGGACATGTTTGAATCAAGGTCCCCTCCCAGAGGTGTTGATTGAAACCAAAGACAGATTTTAGAAGAAATATTTTTATTGTGAAACTTAAAGAGACATTTTGTATGCCATTTGAAATATCAATGCAACGTTCATAAGCTGTATGTAACGCAATTTTGTTCTGTATGCACTCTGTGCATACAAAATGACAAATAAAGAAGTCTAAGTCTAAAGTC